CGATCCTTGGACACATCAGTTTCGATTTGTGTCCACATCCGCCTGCTGATGCTGATTTTCGATTTATCGCCAGCAGAATTTAGGACTTGATCTGAAAATTAATTTAGTATAATTCGAAACTATCCCATAAAATTAAATAACAACCACTTTCTCATGCTCAAATGCTAACTAATAATACAATAAATTCTAATACATCAAATAGTTCTACTATTTGGGTTTAATCGGAAAGCTCCTTGGAGCTAAACAATTATTTGATGTAATCAAGTTTACTTGGTGTAGTATTTGTCTTTTCAATTAATTGCACATAATAGTGTATTCAAATAAATCTTCATTATAGACATCGGAACTAATGGAGTGATTTTTGTTATTCAATATTCAAATTGCCAAAAATTTGAGAGCTTTTCTATGGTATATGATGATATGATACATTAAACTAATAAGAAACGTCAATGCAATTATCGTTAAATTTTATTGGTCTTCCCGGAGAAAACTTTATAAACCTTGAAAGGAAAACTTTTTTCGTCCATTCTGCTCACGAAAACGTCTCAACTTCGCATGCTTATTGTGGCAATTCCACCTAAGCCATTACTGCAGGACTGGCCCCTTCGACTACCGACGGGGTATTTCCCAAATGAGACCGGATGAGTCGAACGTCAGAAATGTATTGGGGTTTATGGAGATGGGGAACGATAGCAGATATCCGGGGTTATTGGATATGTGCCGACGAAATGGCGTGCATCGCACTCAAATTGGAAGGAAACCGCCTCGAACGATCGTAATCTTAGCTCGTAAGCCAATTTTTCAAAGTGGACACTAAATTGCTTAACGATATAATCAATTGATTCTTATAAATATAAAGATTTGAAAAGACTACTTTGTTAGATGTATGCGAGCTCATGCATCATCCAGTGACGACAATAAATTATAAAATAGATAAAAAGCTCGAAACTTTCAAAACCGTAGTCGTATAGTTCATCCGTAGTAATCAGTCTTCTGTTGGAAACGATTAGGACGAAAACGAAAGATAGTCTAGAGAAAACAAACCAAAACCGCAAAAGATAAGGTTTGAACAATTAATTTAGTTGCGTGGTAAACAGAGACAAGGCTCGGGTATGCAGATTTTGGTGGAAATTATTGAATTTTTTATTTTATGCTAGAGTATACTATCAGTCTCATGGTTTGAAATTGGTTATTGCTTGTAATTTCGGAAATTTCCGATACCCGATCAGTTAGCATTATTAGTCAAGAGATACGCTAATCAAACGGGGAGATTGATAGAAGCCTAAGCGTTCGGAACTATTCGGCTTATTGGGTTGTTGCATTTGAGCAAATATAGGATGAGCCTTTGTAGGACACAAAGTGTGCATAACATTATTGCCAGTACAAACTTTGTGATAGCTTATGAAGTATTTTTACTTTTGCGAAACCTACTAAATCTTTCTCCACCATAAAATGACAACAGCTCTCGAGAAATCCAATATCCTGACGTCAACCAAAGAAAACGGTTCGATAGAATGAACATTAAATGGACCCATTTGAACTTAAATTGGACTATTTCAGCTGTAATTACCGGGAGGCGGTAATAAAGTGCGACCATCAAGATTAAATGGTCCAAACTACAGCGACAACGATTCAAGTATTTTGGTTCGGCCACAACATTTATCAGTATTAGCGCTAAGCAGACCAGTAGAATACAAGTTAATAGCCATTGAATTGGTTTATGGAAAAAAGTATTTTACCATTGTTTCATTTCCAATATCTTTGCCAAGCTATAAATTTTTAAACAGACTATATTGTTTATTTCAGTTCTGAAAAAAATTAATCGGATCGAAAAAAATAAAAAATTATATATTTTGCTTTCCATTAGCTTAACATTTATTAGGAATAAGGTAATCCATTTGAAGTTCAGGGATGTAAATAATAAGTAATATAGTTCCAAAATCTGAGAGTATTAGGTACAAATTCGCTTTTAGGTTAATAAAAGAAGTGCTTGTATTGTAAGTTCAACCTTCATTGAGCTCACTCAGACACCAAAATGGTGAAGAAAATCTCACTCCTCTTGCGTAAGTGAGTTAAACGGTTTAATAAAGAAAAAGTGATAGTATCAAAAATCTTATACAAAAACATATTCATTGAAAAATGGATCACATGTCAACTAGCGGTTACGCAACCTAGAATAAGTCTAACTAATATAATTATGGAAAAATGATAGGATAATAATTAGCAAATTTCTTGCTCGAACCTATCGACTTGACAAAGTTTCGAAATTCTAGAAACAGCAGGTACAAATCACATGGTCATCCATGTGAACAAGTGGCACCTACACGTGTCGTGTCGTTTCAGGAGTATTCATTTTAAATTTCTAGTTCTTTTGGTTGGCATATTACTAACATCCTTTCTCCATTGTTATTCGTTACATTCTCTCCAAATTTTCCTACTACATTGTCGTTACTCCTTCCTGCTCATCCATCAGTCTTCCAGATATTATTTCCCTTGAATATCCTACTTTTATGATTTGATCACTAAGGCGTTAATAGAATGCATCTTTTATAATTATTCATCGTCGTTCATTTCGAATATTCCAATAATTATCATTTTTCCTCCCAGAATATTCACATTCAGTTTTATCATTGTTTCGTTTACTGCTTCCAATAATCATGTTTTAACTTGTCAGAATGTTATGTATAATAATAGCGACTTCTTTCATGAACTCTGCTGATGAAATTATCGTACTCTGAGATTTTCTAAGAAGCCCTCTCCTTCCCTTTTGGTCTCTGTGCCGTTCATTTTTTGATGTTTGATCACTTCATTTATTTTCCTTGAGATTCCTGGAACGCGTCATGTACCAATACTGATTGTCCATTCTCGTTGCCTGGGTCGTCTCCGATTTTTGATTCTGTTCCGAGCCTATTGATTGGGTCTTTCAGTCTAGGTACAGTTTTTCCGAGTGATTGGGAGTTACCTCAATGCCTCAACTTCCTATAGGGAGGACCAGGAAGCTTGTCGTCGAGGTTGTCTTTCTCTAGCCTTTGATGAGCCATCCTATGTATGGCTAGTACCGTAGCATGCGATTCAAATAAATAATGTTGTTGAGCAGCAGTAATAAGTTGTCCCAAAGCCTGACAAGCAGATATGATTGACATAAAACTATCCTGCATAGAGTACACAAATGTACAAATGATGATTTTACCCAAATGAAAATCAATACAAAAAAATGTACCTATGCTAAAGGTGAGTCCAAATGCGATATATTTCATTATTTTAATTGCAAGTTCTTCTGACGTCCAGCGATATGTCCCACAACTAATGCCACATTCCTTTGTCCCTGTTTATCGATCATTAAGTCCGCCATTATGAGATTACTACGCCCCGGTAATTTGGGGTCGCAAAGAAAATAATTAAATCCAAAACATCATCATTGATTGCCAATTTTCATCTTCTCCATGTTTGGCCTTAATAGCTTTTGCTGTTTCCAGCATCATGATACAAAAAACTAAAGGTAAAAATCGGATATAATGCTTGGAAATAAAAGCGAAAATTCGAAAGCCCAGGCTGCCTCAATTTAAAACTAAATTCCAACTGTAATTAAAATAATTTCGTACATTACCAGCTGTAAACTCTCAGTGTAACATTTCATATAAGCGCCTCGTACAATGGGCAATAAATATTCTTTCAGAGGTCAGGGAAATTTTCCGGCTAGATATTAACGATGGAGAATTTTCATTTTGCTGAATTATGAACAATTGCATAGCGGTAATATGTTAGGTAAGGATTATGTATTTAAAACATAAATATATTTCTCATTAAATGAGTTTAAAAGTTTTCAGTGAGTCCGAATATATTTTACTTAATAATAGTTTTTTATGTCATTGGGCCAAGAAGCGAGTCTTCTTGTGCTGACCTCAAGAAAGAAGCACAAAAAGACCTTCGGCGGTTGAATGGCATCCATTTTATCTTTGAGCGAGTCCAATGTTTCTTTTCACAACTACTGTGACTACGTTTATAACGTACCATTTGGATGCGATCGAGTCCATCCGATAGAACTGCATCCACTTGAAAATCGCGTTATAAACACTGGCGAATCCGATCGAAAATGGATCGAATGTTTTTATAACGCGATTTTCGAGAGGATGCCGATTCATCGGGTCGACTCGATCGCATCCAAACGGCACGTTATAAACGACTGACTGTTTTTTCCAGCAGAAGGCTGCCTATAATATACGTCGTATGTAATTTTTCAATGCCAAATCAATCAGTCCCCAGTACATCGACCTTTGAATTTTGTAACTCATGTACATGCCAAACTTCCTGAGCTGCTTCACAACACCAAGTCGGACAATTTTATTCATATCTTCACCTTGGGCGATGGAACATTTTCGCGCCAGCTCTTCGTGAAGTTATCTTTTTGACGTCCCTGAAGAAGGTGATACCTGTACGTGTCGTTTTAATGTCAATCGACTGTTTTTTATATTACATTTGTCGGACAAAAATCCCGTGGCTTTGGGGGGGTCCGATGCCCCAATGTCACTGTGGTGTAAAAAAAAAAAAAAACAGTAAATATGGTCAAACAGCTTGCAAATGACCCCAGCTATCGCTCATTGAAAACTTCCTATGGATGTACCAAACACCCTGTATAAGTGGAAATTATATAGTTATTATGCACCAAGGGCATTATGTAGATTATAATGCCTAGAAACTAACCCGAGGGCCTCTTATAATGCCCTCAGGTTGTTAGAGGTATATTAATTTATTCCTGCGACCATTTCGTGTTCTTGTGAAGATATGTTTTACTTTCGTGGGTTAGAGGACAGCCTTTTCAAGCGAATAAAAAAAACATGGTTAAAGAAATCACTACGACTTCCTTGGAGTCAAGCCGGGTGGTAGTGCTGATAACCTCAAGAAAGCTTACCGTAAGCTTGCCCTAAATTATCACCTGGACACGAACTCCGACAAAAGTCAAAAATTGGAACAAATATCTCAAGCGTATTAGTTACTCTCAGATCCCGAAGAAAAGGTATTTACTTATTCGACATGTCCTTTGTTGGAGGTGGCAAAGGCAAAAAACGTTTACGCAAAGGCAAAGATGTGGTGCATCAGCTAGCTCTTATTCCTTGGCGGAATCGTATAAGAAGTGCACCATAAGAAAACTAGCTTTGCAAAAGAACGTGATCTGTGATAAATGTGAAGGTCGTGGCAATAAAAAAGGAGCTGTAGAACTATTCCTCACTTCTAGAGACTTGGGAATGCAAGTGCAAGTTCAACAGCTAGCTCCAGGCATGTTGAAACAGATCCAGACAGTGTTTGTTGAATGTAGAAGACAAGGCGAAAATATTAATCCCAGAGATCGTTGCAAACAGTGACAAGGCAAAAAGGTGGTGCATGACAGGAAGTTACTATAGGTACACGTTGATGGTCAGAAGATTATTTCCAATAGAATAATAAAGTGAAATGTTGTTTTTAAGGGATTAGTACTTTGTCGAGATACTTAGCTATGTTGTATCCCGGTGAGTTGAAACAGCTTACTACAGGCCTAAGATGTAAGCCAGGCTTATGTGTCTTCCTCAAACAGTGAAGTTTTGGAGAAACTGAGTTGTAATGTTTTAATTCCTTTTTCTCTCTAATGCTGATCAGGTTCTGTGCTCTTAGCTCAGTAACCATTTTGTTTGCGATGGTCTGAAATTTATTTGTAGGGTCCCGGTTGGTGGATTGGTATATATTATTGTCATTTAGCATCTCAACTACTTTTTGGTTCCCTTTGTCTGATCGACTGACAATTATATTGGGATGGTCCCTAAGGAACTCTCTTGTTTTTTTTTTTAACTTCACCTAATAGGGCCTATGTTAGCAGTTGAGTCCTCTTTTCGGTAGAAATTGGTGATGATGTTGGTAGACTAGGCTCTCAGATTGACCATTTCTTCATCCCGGATGAAACCTATTCAAACTGTTCAAATGAAAATAATAACAAATATGATACAGAATTTCTCAAAACTGAAAAAAATCAATATAAAAAGACATATCCTTGGAACAGACACAAAATGGAATATGCTTGAAAGTGGGTAAAAACCTTAGATGCAAAAACTACCTCTACAACTATCCGGTGTCCAGTTACCTGAAGATTGAAGAAGTGCAAACCATCCTTGGTTTGGGACCAAAGTTTGGCCTCCCACTCACAAGGAAGGAGATACCGATACCCACAATTATAAAAGATGTCGAGTATTGTATTAGAAGTCAGGCTATCTCGAATGAAGAAAATGACAACCTGAGAGCCCAGTCTACCAACATCATCACTAATTTCTACCGAAAAGAGGACTCAACTGCTAACAAAGGCCTATTAGGTAAAGTTAAAAAAACAAGACAGTTCCCTAAAGGGAGTGTGACCCAAAAATGAAAGTTTTAGTGCAAAAAATCTAAGAATAAATATTTAAACCGCATTTTGCTACGTTTCAACCATTTTCAAGTGAGGGTGGTTTGGAGTGACAAACGCATAGGCTGTGACGTAACCCGGCTTCGGAGGTACAGTTGAAACACGTGTAAAATTTCCGAAAACCAAAGTCAACGTTCTCACTTAGAGCGAATTGTAACCACTTGAGGTATATAGGGCACGGTTCACGGACGACTTAACAAGCAGCAGGCTACGATTTCGGCGGTTAGCCAGTGTGGCGTCACAAGTTCCCGCAAAATTTATATTCATAAGGAATTTTCTTGGATAATATTTTGAATGTAACACTTCGGTTTTCACGAGAGATCTTAGATTTTTTTTCTTGATTTAAGTAGCACAAGTTGTTTTTTTTGGGTCACACCCTATTTAAGGACCATCCCAATATAATTGTCAGTCGATCAGACAAAGGAAACTCTACTGTTCTTATGGATAAAAGTGAATACCACCAAAAAGTAGTTGAGATGCTAAATGACACTAATATATACCAATCCACCAACCGGGGCCAAATAAATTTCAGATCATCGCAAACAAAATGGTTACTGAGCTAAGAATACAGAACCTGATTAGCATTAGAGAGGGAAAGGAATTAAAACGTCACAACTCACTTTCCCCAAATCTTTACTGTTTGAGAAAGACACATAAGCCTGGGGGGCTTTATTTGAAATCGATCGCAAATATCTGCGTGCACGCAAACTTGCATCAATTTGTTCGTATACGCAACTTGTTATGTGCGAATAGCTTTATTTGAAATTGACATTGGACGTGTGCATCTCTACTTGCGTGCACGCAAAAGATGCACTCGCTCGCTGCGTTGCTAGTTTTCTTTTCACAAAATGTTGAAAATCTACCATATAAAAATGAGTGGATTTTTGAATTTTACGATATTTTGGCTGCTGGTGACGTATATTTTACGATGACATTTATTTATAATGATTTTTTTGATGTTTTGAGGTTATAATTTTTTAAAATATGTTTCGTGTTTATAAGGAATTTACCACAAAAAATTAATACTATTTCACCAAGATTCCTGTAGATAGAAAAAAGAGCTGCGCAAACGTAGAGGCGGAGGAAAAAAGGCTTCTTGTCTAGTTTGTCAGAGAACTCCCCAACCTTTACCAAAGATTCAAGAAAAAAATGTGGCAAGAAGCCTCAGCGGTATTAAATACGGGCCCGGTGACAGATTCTCTTCTCGGTGACACCAAATAGCCCTCTATAGCATCATATAAGTCTTCAAAAGTAGCTTTATTTAGCCGAAATTTTTCACGAAAGCCCGGTCACTTAGGACAAAGGCATAAAATCGCGTCCGTACTATGAGGTTTTCGTTGAAAGGCTTTGCTAGTTCAAGACGAGCCAGCACATTGTGCACAAGTTAATATTAATAACGTTATTGAAATTCATATTTATAAAAATCACAAACATATTCAAACCTATTTGAATGAACTATCAAAATTAAAATAAATTGACAAATTGACGACATAACTTGCGTGTGCGTAAGTAGACTTGCGATCGGTATACCCCCATGCGCAGAAGTTGCGAGTGGTGCAAAGTCATATCGCTCGCAGTGCATTTCAAATAAGCCGTGCACCAATTGTCAATCGCAAATGACGTTATTTGCGTGTACGCAAAGTTGCATCAATTTCAAATAAACCCCCCCTGGTTAACATCTTAGGCCTGTAGTAAGCTGTGTCAAATCACTGGGATGCAACATAGCTAAGTATCTCCATAAAATACTCAATCCCTTAACAACAACATCTCACTTTAATATAAAAGACCCTTTTCATTTCGCAGAAGTAATAAGAGAACATGTAGTACCTGAAGGACGTGTCCTAGTGTCCCTAGATATAGTTAGTCTGTTCACAAACATACCAAAGAAAATAGTCTCGGATATTATTAACTCTGAACACAGATTTATTTCCAACTTTACAGATATTCCTAAAAAAATACTTAATTGACCTAGTAAATTACTGCTTTAACACAAGTTACTTTTCCTATGATGATAATATTTACTCACAAAAAGATAGGTCAGCTATGGGGAATCCTCCAATTTTAGCTAATCTAGTCATGAATCATCTCATCACTGAAGTTTTAAAAAGTATACAGTTCCATGTCCCAGTCATATTTGTCTATGTTGATAATACCGTATTGCCAGCTCCTCAAGACCAACTGAATGTACTACTAGACACCTTCAACAGCTTCCACCCATCATTCCAATTGACGATGGAGATATAAAATGGGAACAAAATCTGTTTCCTGGATATGGAGATCCATCGCAAACCTAATGGTACCCTTATCACAAATTGGTATTCAAAACCTACTAGTTCTGGTAGGATTTTAAATTATTTATTAAGCCATCCTCTCTCCAACAAAATAGGAATCATAAATGGATTATTACACAGAGCCGTCAATCTAAGCCACCCAGAATTTCACACCACTAACATCGAAAAAGTCAAAAAACAATTAATGAACAACAATTATCCTCTAAGTTTCATAAACAGAAACAGCTAGATTTAGAACAAAACTAAAAGTAACACTAAAGCTCAACAAAAATACTTCAAATTTCCTTATATTGATGGTCTCTGTCAAAAAATAGGGACATGCTTTAACAATTTGAAGCTAAAACTAGCTTTTTACAATCCAAAATCATCTAGCTCTTTTTTTACACCACTTAAAGATAGGGTACCAGAAGGAAAAAGAAGCTCAGTAGTTTACAAAATACCTTGTGAATGCGGTAAATGCTATATTGGCGAGACAATTCAGTATCTCGACAAAAAAGTTCAACAATACAGGTATGACTGTCGTAATGTTAGCATGTACAATGAAGACAAGACTGCATTGTCAAAACATCATTTTGAAACAGGCCACCATTTCAAATTTGATGAAGTTAAAATGGTAGACTCTGAACCTCAGATTCATAAGCGAAAGGTGAGCGAGATGATTCACATAAATTTAAGCAATACAGTAAATATCAAAATTGACACAACAGGCAGTCGGAGTGGAGTTCATGATAACACACTAGAAACCTATAAAAAAAAAAGTCAACAACATTGAATAATAAGTTCCTTTTTAATATACTGTGATATCTTTGTGATTATAATTAATCTTGGTGAATGTTTGTAACTAGTTTTAGGCCTTGTTTGTGATAATACTTTTTTCTCCAAACGTCAGAAAAACGTCACTTTGTTAACCCCTGTCAAGATGTCAGAAATTTGATTTCTATGCTGCTAGGCAAATCCAGTGGGTAATACCTGTCAAGGTGGTAGAAATTTAATTTCTATGCTGCTTGGCAACCCCAGCGGCAGCAAAATACTTTTAGTGCCGCTGGAGCGGCAGTAGAAGTACTTTTAGTGCCGCTCGTACTTTTGCTGCCGCTCAACCATTCACTTGCCCCCGAGCTTACCCCATTCGTTTGGAGAAAAAATAGCGTGTTGCATACGGAGTAGAAGCACTTTTTCGTGCTTCAGCAGTATTGCAAGCCTCACTACGTTCGGCTCGCAAACCTACCGCTTCAGCACAAAAAAGTAAAGCTTCTACTCCTAATACAACAATATACTATATTTTATTTTATTCTTTATGTTTGCCTACACAAACTTAGTTTGTAACTAATTGTAGGGAACTTCAATCACAATTAGTAGCTTCCTTTTAATTTCAAATTTGTCTCTATGTGTTCCTTGTTGGTACTGGTTAAATTGGTTTGTTATTTAAGTTTAGTGTTCAGATATTTTGAAGCTTTTTTATTTTATATCTTAATATTTTATATTCAGTTTGAATGCCATGCAAAACATTTTTAATAATGACAAAATTTTCTTTCTGAAACGAATTAACAATTTCTTTCTTAACTTTAAAATAATTTGTAAACGTTCCCTTTCAAATGGTTTCTGTTCAGGAGTCTCATGAGTCATCACTCATCACTAAAAGAAATTT